TTCACCTGAATATACAAGGCTGTTTATCTTTACCTTGTCCTCCCTAGCTGGTCCTACTGAGGGGTTTGTTCTGAAACAAGGGTCTTCCTTTCCTATGATGAGTGTTTGCAAAGGGCATTTTGGAGGTAGATTCTTGGATTTGTCGGGGTGCTCAAATTGCTTCTGATGGTTTTTAGTAAATTCTACGAAGGATTCTTTTAAGGCATCTACTTGGTTTTTGACTGTGGTCAATAAGTCGAAAGTTGAGAGAACAGCCTGTGCCGTCAACCAACTGTGTCTAGATAATAAATCTACAGTGTTTTGATCTTTCAAATTTTGGAGGTCAGAAGCTCCAACTCCCTTCTGGATAAACTGTTCGGCAGCTGAACTGACAGCAACAGCCTGTGGGGAGGGGGTGTTTTCTATCAAGGAAGAGGTAAGCTCCGCCAGTTGCTGACTCTCTATCTCTGCTTGTAAGTCTCACTCTAATGGATCATATCTGTCCGATAAGTGAAGTAGGGAGGAATTACTTGCCAAAGAGATACATTGATTTTTATCTACCTTCTGTTGCTTCAGCGGCTTTGCTGAAGATTGCGTTGTGGAGGGTATTCTTTGTCGCTTCTTCCTTTTCCCCATAACACAAGGAGTTAGTTGCAGCTTTAGCTGTTATCCGAGAATACTCCAGAAGGGAGGGTTGTGCTGTCTTATATTGCAAGTAGATCTTAAAGTTTTAAAGGATATGTGGATTTAGAAGTAGAGAACTTTTGGCAGGAGCTTGTTGTTAAAGCTGCAGCCTCAACTCTTGATCTGAATGGAGAAGAAACCAAGGTAGGAATCACTTAAGGTAGAGCAGGATGGTGGGGTGTAGTGGTTAAGATGTTGAACGGAGGCTGAAATGACCTCGGTGCAAGTCAGCAGTTGGCCATGAAGCTCATAGATGATTTGGGGCCATCTGAGTATCTCCACACCCACCTGCCTTCAAGGGTTGTTGTTGGGGGAAAAGAATTGAGAGCACACACTATGGACTAACTTAGGCTTCCAGATGAAAGATGGAAGAAAATGTGACCTTGAAAACTGAGTAGCCAATCACCTGAAAGTTTTAAATCACAATTAGCTATCTTACCCTGCAGCGAGGGCAAGGATGACAGAGGTGACCAAGCTGGGTGGATTGTCCTCAATAGCTCAGGATTTGACTACTGATTGTTCCAATTAAGAAAATTAGAGGCAGCAGTGGGATGCGGAGAGCTTCTTGGAGGACTCTAGCTGGTTAGAATAGGCTCCACCGAGTGAACTTATGTTAAACTTTAATGTGGCTCGTTAACATTTGTGTTGTTGGGTCAGTAACATTGCACAGCTGCCGTCTAATGAAAAAGACATAGCACAGCTCTCCTGGTTGGTCTTCCTTTTGATATTATTCTCTGCAGAATCTGGCTCAGCTTGTGACTGGCTTCTGATATATAATTACAACTTTTAATTTGTTAAGGTTGGTTTGTTCAGTCAGTAATATTGCACAATTGCCATCTAATGAAGAAGAAATTGCATAGCATTCTTGCTTGCTCTTCCTTATGATATTGTCCTCTTTGACATCCAGCTCAAATCATTATCTGCTTCCTGTACCTAACAGTGAGTTTTAACTCACAATAAAACTATGATCTTCTTTTTCTTCAGGAGGTAAAAGAGTTGGCTTGCAAACATCCGAATCTAGTGGTATTGCAGTTAGGTACGTTTCAAGGGCCTTGTGCAAATAGGGCAAGTTTTGTACTACACAAATGCTCAGAGTGTCCAGCTACAAGCCATTCTTGGAACTAACATGACCTGCAGAGTCACTGGTTGGGTTCAGCATGTTATTTGGGGGGTTGGCTAGTATGTTGAATGACCCCAGCTATGTGGTTTGTCAATTAGCAGAATATATTACATCTATAAAGCTCTGGGATACAAAATATGGATGGGAATGAGGTGTCAGGAACAAGATAGAGAAAACTCATGAAGTCTCGTGACAGCCCTGATCGGGTAGCCTCAGTTTATTTGGACAGACAAACTTTATATCAGGACATCATATGTATCTTGTTATGATAGTTTGGCCATGGGTATTGGATAAGTACAGTTAGTTGTGGGTTTATTCAGTTGATTTTCGGTAAGTATAAAGCTATGACTTGAGTATGATGTGCAAGGACAGTCTATGTCGCAGCTGAGTTTTGGTCTCACTAATAATCAGACCTACAGTATCTGACTTATTTTAGCTCCACTTGAAGTCCAGTCTTTAACAGAGTGTTTGGGTCTGTGACCTTCATGTTCTTAATTTTTGGCAATATCTCTCTGTGTTTGCTGATAACTGGTCCATGTTATTGTTGCACAGATGTCACTGTTCTTGAGAGCATCCAGGCAGCTCTAAAAGAAGTGGGAAAATGTGTTGGAGAAGCTGGGCTGACCCTCCTAATCAACAACGCTGGCACTGGATTGTTCAATGATCTAGACACTGAAAATGCCAAGGATATGATGACAGTATATTCCGTCAATACCATTGGCCCTCTGCAAATGAGTCAGGTTTGTTCATTATTAATTTCAGTTTTTGAAGGCACCTTTCAAGGCAAAGAAGTGTGATTGATTACATAAAATTAAAATAAAATATCGAACAATTAAGTTCTATGTAACTAAAGACATCACAAGTAGAAAATGTATACCGATTTGAAAGTGGGTTGTAACACGTGGGGGTTTGGGATTACTCTCTCTCTCCTCATTTACTCAGGATCAAGCCTTGGAAGGGATATCAGAGGCACATTCCAGGGGTACCAGCCTCTGGGGTTTCTCTCTTCCCCCCTCAATGCTTCAAGCAAAGATAGGTTCTGTAATGGTATGTGGGACTGACCTTGGGAGACAGAAGGAAGAGCCGCAGACTAGACAACTGTCATGCAAAAGGTATATCAGCCCCCAGAAGGAAAAGGGGTATGGGGAACATTTCAGAAGGAACCCTCCCTAGTTTTC